AGTCTTTGAGCGTTCTCTTTGGCTGTTATTTTTTCTTTCACTGAGCTCAATGGAATGCAGATTTGACTTTAACTGCATGAACTAAATTTGTCCGCAGCTTTACTGATGAGATTGTTCATCCTGTTTTTTCACCCTAGCATGAAGCTTTTGTTGCTAGTGAGATGAAAACATGTAATTAATCTGGAGTTCTACAATAGCATGCATACCCTGTATTAAAAGTATGAATCAGGCCACATGGGTTTCTTGCCTCTTTTTATGAAATCTTGCTGTGTCTTCTTTTCCTCATTATCTCTCAGAAATGAAAACCAGGAGCCAAAATTCACAGTCCAGAGTTCCTCCCATGTGGGACTCAGGCAGATAGTACTTTTAATATGCTATGCAAATAAAGCTCTTACAGTGAAGTTGTCACTGCCCTCATACTTAGTTCAGCATGTCAAACTCATGAGTCTCCTAGATGCTACTCAACTTTCATTTTAAAAACTCTTTAGAACAGGTATTTCTTCCTATTCCCCCCTTCTGAAAAGGAAGATACAACAGTAGGCTGTGCATTTTTAGTTTGCAAAAACACATCATGGGTAGGACACCTAAAGCTAGAGGTCTGCTGGGTGGATGTGCAAATTGGAGCGAGTCAACACAGTCTTTTCTTAGAGTCAAATTGAAGAAAAAGAAGTTCTATGAAATAGTTAATATGACTTATGTTAGAATGGGAAGGATAATGCTCTAAAAATGTCTTAATACAAAGAGCCCAGGGTCACAGCTTCTGTCATAGCTATGGATGTCTACATCCTGTGAGATGATACATGCACAGTGCCCGGAAAACATTTCCATTCTATGTTCTCTTCTTTGCCAGTTTCTACAGGATGGAAAATTGTGCACTTGCTCCACAGAAATGCAGCTGGAATTCTGCAGAAACATAAATTAAAACTTTTATCATCCTTCTTGTTTTTCCACCTGTAAACCTACTACAAAGCTTCATTTTATATGGCATCATTTAGAAGAAGTGTAGCTCAAAAACCAAACATGTAATTAAATAAATATGGAGATAAATCAGCATTGAGAGGAAGGAAACAATGAAATGATTTAGACAAGCAAAACAGATACTTGTTCTCACTGGATGTTTGATGAACAAGTGTAAGTCAATGAGGCAGAGGAGGGCTGTTCCAAAAGACTGGAGCCTCAGAGGAGAAGTTTCTGACACTAATAGCTGTAGATGTCTGACATTAATAGCTGTAGATGTGTGTTGAGGTACTGTTACAATCTGCCCCAAAAGGTGAGGGTAACCCAGGTTCTTGTTAATAGATCCCTTGGGATGGATTGGAGTGAAACGACACTGAATGATTGGTGTTTGTAAATACATATACGTGTAGGGTTTATTTTTGCAAAGGAAAACAGATACGTAGCTGTTTTGGTTGTTATTGCCTATGGTAATATAGCAATATAAAAGCATAAAAATAACACTTAAGAAAAGGTATAGGGAAAAGAAAGAGAAAGAAAGGATAGAAGTAGAAAGATATATAGTTACCACCCACTGGATCCAATGATGAGACTTGGTAGTTGCAATTTCCAAGTCTGTTAGTTGAAGTGATGGTTGCAGTCCTGTCAAAGTGATGGTCTTGCTATTTCTTTGCAGTTTGCTGCAGTGGACAAAAGTCTTTTGGTGAACTTAACAACACCTAAGCCATTAACCATTTCAGCCTCTGACAGGCACGCAGGAAAGTTGAAAGATGTGGAGGAGGGAGTGGACAGCAGAGAAGGTCTCTAAAGGGGCACCTACAGACTCCCTTCCAATGGATGTTTAAAATGGAATCCAAGTTGCAATTTAGGAAGCAACCTCTCTCTTCCTGACAGCAGCATGGAGTGAGCCCAGCAGGCTGGAAAGATGGGCCATGACTACAGTCACTGGAAACATATGTAAAAAACTTCAGTACCTACCAGAAAAAAAAAAAAATTCTTTGTTGAGGCACAGTCACTCCTGTAAAAAGCTATAGCTTTTTTTCTTTGCAGTTAGTTTTGCCTCCAGTTGGTTTATAATGCTCACTACCAGGTTCTCTTCCCATTAATGTTCTTCCAGTAAACATTCTCTGATGTGCACTAAAGGATCCATCAATTACTCATATTAAAGCAGCACCCTTATTTCTTTTAACAATGAGATTAAACTGTTTATGGAAGCTGCTGGCCTTGGCTGGTCACTAATGAGACATTTGGTTCATTACCTTGCATTTTTTTCTCTGCTAAACCATCAGTTAGAAGGGCTCAGATGTAAATGCTCCAAGGTCTTTATAAGATTCTATCAGGTGAGACAAGAATAAAATGTGTGAATAAAAGTTTTAAAGTTTCCAAAGATGGAAAGCTAAAATAAAATATTAGAGAAAAGGTCTATTTTGCTCCTTTCATTGGTACAAATCATGAGTTTTACAAATGCATTTTTAAAGACATCATTTACTGGAGAAAGTGGGCAGCTGAGAAGAGAATCAGCCTTCATGAATCCAGCTATGACTTAGAAACAAAGCATTTGTATCACAAGCAATTAATTCTGCTGAGATATATTTAAATTGCAAATGCAGGAGGGAGATAATTTCAATTCTGCCCTGTTCATCAAAAACTCCACCCTATCCCAAATCTATCAGCATCAGATCCAATCACAAAACATGCAGAACAATGTCATCACAACAAACCTTAATTAGGGGATGATAGACAAAGGGCATGGCACTCTTTCTAATCGAGAGGGTTATGTCCCTTTCAAATTAACATTTCAAAAGGCATTGCATGGAGTTAAAGCCTTGTCCCTTTCCATCAGTTTTAAAGTTCTTTAAATTCCAGACATTACAGAAGGAAGGGACATGATACCTGTGTGAAATTATGAACTGGCAGGCTGCTTGTATAAAACAGTAGGTAGATTTCTGCTTTATCAGAGTTTTATCTAGAAGGAAGGAAGGAAGGAAGGAAGGAAGGAAGGAAGGAAGGAAGGAAGGAAGGAAGGAAGGAAGAAAAAGATAGAA